AGGCTCATATGCACAACCTATAAGGTCATATTGGAAAGAGATGATCAAATAGAGCTTTCCTTCTCGAGGACTTGGGATGTGTCACTTCAGGACAAGCTCATTCCCCTAAACATAGACAAAAGGTTGGGTTCGTTTTGTTTCCTTCTTTAAATTTTTGTTAGTATTTTTTTACCTAGAAAATAGAAAAGAGATTATACTTGATGACTAACCAGAAGTATGAATTAATGTTCAGGTTTATAATGCTTAAAGGTTCCTCAGGTTTCTATTCTTATGCAATATATGAACATTTAGAGGTATGGCCTGGTTTCAACCTTGACGAGACTAGGATTGCATTCAAGCTCAGAAAAGACAAGTAATACTTACTTTCTCTTCATCCAATCTGATAGCTTTTTCTTTATTTTTAAGTTCTCATACTCAGAGGCGAACCTATGCTGCACGGAGATGGGTCATCAGCACCCATAAAGTTTGACCATGTATACATGTATATATCTTTAGAAAATAGTGATATATTAGCAGTGGACACCCTACAAACAAAGTAAATTTTCGTTGAATTCGAAAGTGCACCCGCAATCTTCATATCCTGAGTCCGCCTCTGCTCATACTTACAAAGCAAAATGTATAATATTAGTGATTAAAGTTTTGTAGATATCAAAGGCACGATGTCATCTCTTACGTATGAAGGATGTTTTATTGTCTAATTAATTTTGAGCATCAACCAGGTTTCATTACATGGCAATGGCAGATAACAGGCAGAGATACATGCCCTTACCTGATGACAGGTTACCAGATAGAGGACAACCACTTGCTTATCCTGAAGCAGTCCTGCTTGTCAATCCTGTGGAGCCTGAGTTAAAAGGCGAGGTACCTAATTTCTTCTGCCATTTGCTGATGTATAATATAATTAAGTACTCCCGTTAAATGTATGTTCTCTCTAACAACTTAAGGTTTTAGATAAGATAGTTACACACGTCTCTGCATCTCTATTTATCCATTTACATAATGTGTCAGTAATGTTACTTCTATTAACTGGCTGCTGAAGAGGCAAAACTGTTCTATTTATCAAATGCTTCTTGTGGTTCATTATTAGGGTCTACGTGAGTCCTTTTTTGGGTAATTCTTGATTGATTAATGCTATCAGGTTGATGACAAGTATCAATACTCAAGTGAGGACAAAGATTTAAAAGTTCATGGATGGATTTGTATGGATCCACCACTGGGGTTCTGGATAATTATTCCTAGTGACGAATTTCGATCTGGGGGACCCCTTAAACAAAACCTCACTTCTCATGTTGGTCCAACTGCTCTTTCTGTGAGTAATCACAAACTTTAGCACATTTTTCTTCCTCTTCAATTGTTTCTTTGGACCTGAGACACTAAATAAACAAAAATAACCAAGCATTTCAATTTGGACCAGACTCTAGTCACAAAACACAGTTTGATTTTCTCTTCTTTTCACGATTGTCTTCCATGATGTATTCTACAGGTGTTTCTCAGTGCCCACTATGCAGGAGAAGATTTGGTTCCAAAGTTTGGAGAAGGAGAGTCATGGAAAAAAATCTTTGGACCAGTTTTTATATATCTTAATTCTGTCACTGGAGGGAAGGATCCCCTAATTCTCTGGGAGGATGCCAAAGAACAGGTATAATTAAGGAAAGAGTTTAAGTTCTTTGCGCTGATAATGTAAGAAATATCAGGTCAGATAGAAGACAATTATACGTAACTCTATTTAATAAGCATGTATTGGTAACTCATAATAAATGGTACATATAACATGCTAAATTACAATGATGGTGTAAAAATTCTTTTGGTGTCGGTATATAACTTAAGGAAACTAGTATTATGGTACAACGGAGCGATCTTCATTGCTATCTTTGTGATTGTCCTTATTGATATAACTAGACTATCTAATGTTGGGAATGCAAAAATCAGATGCTGGTAGAAGTTCAAAGCTGGCCTTACAGTTTTCCAGCATCTGAGGATTTTCCATCATCATCTCAACGCGGTAATATTAGTGGAAGATTGTTAGTCCAAGACAGGTATTACTTGCTTATTTGTTACTATTACCACATTTTTCTTTTTTCTTTTGGAGGTAGGTGGTGGACTTGGAAGAACAATTATTCTACAGTCATTGGCTCTACTTATATTATTTTTTCAAGCTTAGGTACTTCAAAGATGATAAGATATATGCTTCTGGTGCATATGTTGGCTTGGCTCCACCAGGAGAAGCTGGTTCATGGCAAAGAGAATGCAAGGTGATTCAGGGGAACATAAAAGCTCAATCACTCGAAAACTACGAGTATATTTTGCCTTTTTAACAATTTGAATACTAGTTGATGTTGATCAGGACTATCAATTCTGGACAAAAGCAGATGAGGAAGGCTATTATGTAATCAGTGACATACGAGCAGGCGACTATAACTTGTATGCATTTGTCCCTGGATTCATTGGAGATTACAAAAGTGACACTAAAGTTACAATTACCTCAGGTACTACAATTAGACCATTATTTTCAAGCTTTTCAAGATCGTTACGAGCTAAATATAACATGTTATAAATCAGGTTGCAGCATTGAGATGGATGATCTTGTCTTTGAACCCCCAAGAAATGGACCTACACTTTGGGAAATTGGCATTCCTGACCGCTCTGCACGAGAGTTTTATATTCCTGATCCAGATCCAAAATATATCAACAAACTCTTTGTTAATCATCCTGATAAGTTAGCTTTCTCCTTCATCATTGAAAGTTTAATTTTTATCTTTTTTATTTTGCTGCGCATTAGGTCTTTCGGAAACAACTTCTCTACCTCCCCAGGGTAGGTGTAACGTCTACGTACACACTATCCTCCCCAAATCTCACTTGTGAAATTTTACTGGATTTGTTATTGTTGTTGTTGTTGCTCACTATCATCATCTTCCTCAGGTTTAGACAGTACGGGCTATGGGAGAGATACACTGACTTGTATCCAAATGGTGATATAGTCTTTACAATTGGAGAGAGTGACTATAAAAAAGATTGGTTCTTTGCTCAAGTCACTAGGTAAAGAAAGTATTAAATCATTACTATATTTTACTCTGAAATTATATGTAGACTTCAGGGAAGACCTATATTTGATATCTTCATCAAATTTGAATGTGATTTTTCTTCCCTTTTTTTTGGGTTTTTGGGTATGTTAGGAAAAAGGATGAGAAGACGTATACAGGAACAACATGGCAAATAAAATTCAAACTTGACAGTGTTAATCGAAATGAAACCTATTCACTGAGATTGGCACTTGCATCTGTAGCACAAGCTGAATTACAAGTATAGCATAGTTTTTTCATCATTTTTCAATCATAATTAGATATTGTCGAGTCAACGATAAAGGAAATCATAAAATATAATTTGTAGGTTCGCATCAATGATTCAAGCATGAATACTCCTCTATTCTCAAGTGGATTGATAGGGAAGGATAACGCGATAGCAAGGCATGGAATTCATGGTCTCTACTGGCTGTTCAATGTGAATTTGCAGGGTGACATGCTTGTTGAAGGGGAAAATACAATATATTTGACACAAGCAAATGCAACTAGTCCTTTCCAAGGGATCATGTATGATTATATACGTTTAGAAGCACCTCCTTCCCATGACTAAGGCAAATTGTTTGAGATGTCTTTGTATAGATATTTTTTACTTCATTACGTTGAAAATATGTAAAATTCTTCTAAATATTTTGTACTGTCATTACTTGATATAAATGCTTCTTTCATCTTTTCTTTAGTTAAGGGTCTATTGGAAATAGTTTCTTTGCTCGTCCAGGGTAGGGATAAGGCTATGTACATATCTCACTTATGGGAATGCACTGGATCGTTGTTGTTGTTATCTTCTGAGAAATTGTTTGAGAATTCTCGTATAGATATTATTTTACTTCATAATGTTAAAAATATGTAAAATTCTTCTGAAAGAAGTTTAAGTTTTATACATTAAAAAAAGACTGAATTCTCTATGCATGCATTGTCGACCCAAATGCTGGCAAATAGTATTTTCTTACTTTAAATGGAACAAAGCACAGCCTACTCTATCCTTTTATTTTATTTTCTTAAATTTTGTGACGCAGTTTTTCGAAGTCAAATTTCTTTAAGGATTTTTCCTTGATGAAAAATATTTAAAATAAAGTGACCCCATTCTTCATTACAGCTTGTTTGGATGGTTGTTACATATCGTTTTGTAATGTATCATATTGTATTGTATTGTATTGTTTGATGAATACAATGTTTGGATAGATTATGTCGTTTGGCGTCGTTTCATGATATCACGCACCAGCAATATGAAGAATAAACTTATAATATTATAAAGAAAAGTTATGAACATGGTAAAATTATTATATGAAAATATAGGATAAATAATAAAATAAAATTATTTAATTATAATGAAGGGTGGGATTGAGAGAAAAAGACAAGATAACGACGCGACCACACCAAATCGGTCGTTACATAAAGTGGCACATTTCGTCGTTACGTAACGACGAATTTAACAATACGATACAATAAATTTTAAGTAACAATCAAAACAAATATCGTATTTAAAATAACAATACGATACGATACAATAGATAACAACCATCCAAACAAGCTGTTAGTCTTTCACCCTACATTCATTAGATTATAAATTCTACTCGTAATTAACTTTCAAGGGATATAAAATTTACATACACTCAATTTTTATACCAATTCAATAAGTACATATCACATGTCTTCAGAAACATTCATATAACTAAAATATAGTTAATTGGTACACAGTTCACCTTAGTTTACAATTTAACCACGGTAAAATAGCATGGTTTGGGGTAACAGATTCAAGTTCGTTGGAACAAAAGAGGCCCGACTAGATACTGAACAAAGCAGGAGAATAAGAGGGGTGGAAATAACACCAGATAGCCATTTTAAGCATGTTGTTTAAAATATATTCACTGTTTATAATGTATTTAAAGATTAGCAAATTTTTCTCAAATTTCATGACACGACATCCTAGAGTTTAAATCTCAAAGTTCAAACTTCAGGACATCGTGTCCTAAAGTTCGAAAATTGTGTCCAAAAGTTCGAATCTTATGTCCTGAATTTCCAAATTCAGAATAGTAGGTCCTGAAATTTTGGTGAATTAGCTAATCTTTAAAAATATTAATTTATGAATATATTATAAATAGGGGGCTTAAAAGTGGCTATTGTTGGACTTCCCCATAAGAGGGTCCACGGGGTTTGCTTCACAGACCACACTAAATTCAGCCCGTCCAGACTTTCTTTTTTATTTTATTTTCTTCTATGGTATTTTTTCAAAATAAGGAAAAGGGTTAGTTTATCTTTGGTTCTTGTCAAAATTGCCCACTAAGGGCTCATTTGGTACAAGAAATAAAGAATAATTAATTTTGAAATTAAATTTGAGATGAGTTTATCCCACATTTAATTGAGATAAAGTCGCAGTATAACTAATCCTAGAATTAAGCAGTATAACTAATCCTGGAATAATTATCTCGAAATTATAATATTATTTTTATCTCTATAGGAGAATATGATAAGTTTTATTTTGTGTCTCATATAATTTACACTAGTTGTATGAGGCTCTTTTTTGTCTCACAAATTTGTAGACCCCAATCTTATACTTTTGGGTCCACAGAAATCTGGGTCCACAAAACTGTGAAACAAAAAAGTTGGCTCATACAAATAAAATTTTCCGAAGAATATGATAACACTCTTGGAATAATTAGTCTTGGGATAATTTATTTCCTAACTAAACGACCCCTAAAAGCTGTACTGATCTGAAAACTCGAGCGGAAAAGAAAAAATTAAAAAATATTTATCTATATAATATTAAAAGGAGAGGAAAAAGCCCTCTCCTTAAGCCAAGTGGCAGCCTAGAAAAAGCCACTTGGCATAATTAGTTATTTAGTTAATAATTAGTTATTGGTTATTGTTTTTGAATTTAAATATCTATAAAAATTGGAAATAAGAAAAAAAATTAACAATTTAAATTGGGGAGTAGTTTCTTCCTAATATATATATAT